TGCGTGGAGCCCCAGATCGAGGGAGATTATCAGTGGTCTTGTATGTCTTCCATTTCCTAATAATTGCTCCCACAGTTGATTTCTTCAAACCAAGCTGCTTACCTATTGCAGATTCAGTCTTCCCAGCCTGGTGCAGGTCTACAATTTTGTTTCTGGTGTCCTTTGACAGCTCTTTGGTCTTGGCCATAGTGGAGTTTGGAGTGTGACTGTTTGAGGTTGTGGACAGGTGTCTTTTATACTGATAACAAGTTCAAACAGGTGCCATTAATACAGGTAACGAGTGGAGGACAGAGGAGCCTCTTAAAGAAGAAGTTACAAGTCTGTGAGAGCCAGAAATCTTGCTTGTTTGTAGGTGACCAAATACTTATTTTCCACCATAATTTGCAAATAAATTCATTAAAAATTCTACAATGTGATTTTCTGGGAAAAAAATTCTCAATTTGTCTGTCATAGTTGACGTGTACCTATGATGAAAATTACAGGCCTCTCTCATCTTTTTAAGTGGGAGAACTTGCACAATTGGTGGCTGACTAAATACTTTTTTCCCCCACTGTACATGTGTGCGTAAAATATGTCAATGATAGCAATTATGATGAAGATTAGTCCAGAAATACGCTGGAGATCTTTACACTTCCGTCTCACATCTTTCTCACTCTCCTTACCTCTCATCATAATTTCCCTTCGCTATCTGAACTGAGACTGTGTTGTTATCGCATATGAATTTGAATATTAATCACGTAATGTATGTATCTCACCCTCTCTATCCAAAGACATGGCAGCCAGTCATAGCATGCACAGGCAGCCTCCTGTGGGGTGGAAAAACCTCAGAATTCCTCTCTCTCTCTTTCTCTCTGTCGCTCTCTCTCCCCACTTGGTGAGGTCTCGCTTTCTCCTTCTCTCTCTTTCCGCTTGGTGATCTGTCCAGAACTGGAGGTCACTGACCTGAGGGGTCATATTACCCTGCTCTGCTGTAGTAGATAGATGGGAGCGGTCACATGCTGATGTAATGACTGGTCACCTGTGAATCAATAATGGATGTTGGTCACATTATTTTTAGCAGTGGTTGTCCTGATACTGCACTTAGTATTGAGATAATAATGTGGTCACACAGCAGGAGATATATGGGTCAGGGACTCACAGTGAACCATACAGCTTTCCAACAAAAACACCCAGTTTAATTTGAACAAATCCATTTCAGCCTTTCTGAACCTCATAACTTCCCTCTAAGCTCTCTGTATCCCTATCTGGTCCCACTGACGTCACTGGTTGGCTGGGCTTGGGCTCGGTGGATAAGACAACTATGTGAAGACACACGTCACCCAACACGCCAACGACACGCCAACTCACTCAAACAGACTCAGAGGGCCTAGCTGGGCAGCCAATACAAACATTGCCATCTGGGAGGGAGAGGCAGAGAGAGAGAGCGAGAGACAGAGAGAGAGAGAGCGCGGGTGTATACAGAAAGAAAGAGCGACATAGGGATCGATGTGACAGTAGTCAAGGATTAAACAAAGGCAGAGTGACTGACAGTGTTAAAATGATTCGCAGTACCATAAAAAGTCTGACAACTAGACAAAAGAGTAGAAGAAGAAAGTGAAATGAAAGAGAAAGAAGAAAGAGAGAGACACTGAATATGAGTAGGCTGTCTGCGACACATACACATCAAAGTCTATAGCCTGCGAATGGCGTCTCTGTTCCTAGAGCAGAGTTGGGGCCTATGAGCTGCACACAGACACCTGCAGAGAGAATGGACACATTATAAAAACATAGCGGTGATGAGATCAAGACATGTTATAACACATCAATAAACATGTTGTTATAAACTGTGCTCTCCTTTGTGGCAAGAGTGTGGGTATGGAAAGATTTGATAAGAAAGAAAGAAAGAGAAAGAAAGAAAGAAAGAAAGAAAGAAAGAAAGAAAGAAAGAAAGAAAGAAAGAAAGAAAGAAAGAAAGAAAGAAAGAAAGAAAGAAAGAAAGAAAGAAAGGTAATGAGAGAGAAAGGGAGAACACACTTGTGTTGATGACTTATGTACCACATTTGGGGGAGTGAGTTGTCATCAAAGAGGGAGAAAGAAGTAGAGAGAGAAAGAGGGAGAAGAAATTGTTGGGATGAAATGTACCTGTATATCCTGTTAGAGAGAGGGAGACTTGGACAGTAAAAGAGAGTGAGATCGCTAGGCAACTAGCATCTAAATTATTTTAACCCCTAATGCTAGACAAAATGTTATGTGGGCATGAGTGCATGCATGTGTACATATGTGTGCGTGTGTGTATGTGTTTCTCCGTATCTGCATCATTCGAGTGTCGATTTGTTGAGGGGGAGGATTAATTCCGGTGCCCTAATGTCACTCTTTCACCCTATACCATCACCCCTATCAATGTCTCACCTGACTCACAACCCCCCTGCCCCAAGACAACCACATTTCTGTATTTATCATCATTTTACTCCAGAAACAGAGCAATCGAGGGGTTGAGAAATAAAGTTCAAATCACACACACACACACATAAACACACACAAACACACACAAACCCACACACACACAAACACACACACACAAACGTAAACGCAAACAAACAAACACACACACTCCAAAGTACAAAAAAATTGCTTAAGGGGTTAAGAAGGAGCAGATTTTAAATGAGGTCATAATTAAAGACATTCGATCTGCTCAGTCTCAACTAAAACCATCTGTCACGGAGTGAGCAACCAAATACATCAAACCTCTGACCTTTTTGTTAGAATATCCAAAACCAAGACCAAAAAAGATTGTCAGTGTCTTATAAATGTTACTATTAATTTCCCCCATATATTTTATTTCATCAAACTTGATTTTGATTACCAATTGATGTCTTTCCACTTTAGATTCTATTGCTCTAGATACTATACTTTGATAGGGAACTGTAATGTAGCAAAGCCTGCAAGTGGGTGTTTCTTGTGTGTTTTATTCTACAGTGGCCAGGTATTGTACCATTTGCTCTTCTCCTTAGCGACTGCCTTTTGGAGGAAAGCCAGAGAACAGAGACTCCCACACAGTACTGTTTTAGTAAAACCAAGAAAATGTTTTATTCACAGCTTCCATTGAAAAGAAAAATGTAACAGTATCACAATTTCATTCTTATTCCATTCAACCACAGTCTGAGGAAGAGGGGAGTGGCACATGGTGAGTGACAAGCAGAAATGCCCCGACCCTCTCATCATTACCTAGTTGGATTTGCATTTGATTCGACAGAGATTTACATTCAGCCATGCACCTGTGGTGTGTTAGATCTGGAATCAAACAGCTGTGTTTTCTGCTCACAGTGGAATCCTCTTGAAGTCAGACTCGTTAACATATGAGAGCTGCTTGAAATATGACAGCTTGCTAACGAGAGGGATCGTTAATAGTCTTTTAACACATGAGAGGCTACTGACACACAGACACACATTAAAGGGATGACTGGCCACTCCTCATCTGCTGCTGACCCACAGCAGGTCACTGTCACTCATTTGGACCGGATCAACCCGGCTCAACCTGGGCTTCAGTCACCATAATGGGCTATAGGTTCTCCTCAGTACTGTCCCTCTGTGTGCATCTCACAATAACACATAGAGAGAGACACACAAAAGAGGGGAACCACAGACTTTAAAACAAGAGGTAGAGACGGACAATTGAAGGAAATGAAATGTATCTTCAAATCTCCTCAATCTTTACATACATACTAATAAACATGATGGCATCACTCATGGCAACAATCACCAATGGAAAAACTAAAACAAGAAAACAAGAAGAACGTTGAAGCATGGGCTTCATACACTAAACTACACAGCAGTGTCATGTATGTTGCTATCTAGTGTCACAAGTGTATCACTACCTATGTAGAGTTTAAAGTGTGAGATATTTACAGTGTGGTTGTTATTGATTGTGTTGACAGAAAAAATAGATTACATATCAAATGTAGTGAGTTGGAGAGACGCCATAGCTTTCACTCCCTCGCTGGCTCTCTGACCTGGCCTGATCGCTGACCTGGCTTGATCTTTGACCTGGCCTGATCTCTAACCTGGCCTGATCTCTGACATGGCCTGATATCTGCTGTATGTCTTAACAACTCTTTTTAATCTGTTCATTCTCACTGCTTCCCTCTCTATTTTATCCTCTCTTGCTTGCCATCATCCTTGGAACTTCATCTTTTTTATCTCTCTCTCCTATCCCTGTACATTATCACCCTCCTTTTCTTCATAATTGATTTATATCCACCTCTCCTTGACCATTTCACTGATAGTTGTCTCACTACAGAATTTTTCCATTATGATTCTTGTCTTTCTACTATTTCCTTTATGAGATGACCTCAGTGCTTTCTATCACTTGCTGCTGTAGCCCTGGTATCGCAGGTGGAGAGGTAAAGGTTGAAAGGTCAGTGAACAATGATGACTCTAATGTCATTAAACCAAAAACAAAGGAAAGTGTTGCTTTTGAAAATATTTTCTTTGCAGAACTGGTATGCAGTGGTTTACAATGGTGAGCGCTTGGCGCCATACAAAATACCCAACGCCTGCGTTGTTTGTTGCGTATACAAACTAGTAGTTGTGGTGAACAACTTCCTGAAAACAGCACCATCTTACTGAGTGGTATGAATTTAATGCAGTATTGTGTTATGGTACTATATGTATGGACGTTTAAGTGTCTTGGTGTGTGATGTGTTAGTGCGGTGGTACAGTAGTGTATGGAGCTCGTGTAAGCTGGCCGCACTATCCTGCTGTTACGGTGACAGAACCTGCTGCTGTGATGCCATCTCAGTGAAAAATGAGCTCAGCCCTATCAGCAGTAGCAGTGCCCTCCAATCAAATGGTGTCCTACACTGCATCTCACCTGTGCTCCTGAGAGCAGCTCCCTGCATCAGTGTACCGCCCCCTGGGGGCCAGGGGGGAAACTGAAAGCAATCACGATCCAGGTGTGTAGAGCAGAAAGAGGAGGGAGAAAATAAAGTTGGAGAAAAGGAGTGGCTGATGGGGGATGTTCAGCCAAAGAGAAGATGGAGGGACAGAGTTAGTACAGAAAGAGAGAGGAGAGGGAGGAAAGACAGAGTGGGGGAGAAGGAGAAGGAGGAGGAGGAGGGCAGGAGGACCGTGGTGTCGTAGCCGGGAGGGCACTCAAGCTCGAAGCAGCGCACAGAGGCGTCTTCATTCCCGTAGTTGGCCCAGTACTCCTCCTGGTCCACCTTGGGCAGGTTCACCTCCTCCTCCGCCAGCTCATACTTAGAGGAGAAGGAGGTGGAGGAGGAGGAGGGCTGGCTGGGCTTGACTGAGGAGAAGGGGAACGCCTTGACCGTCTCTGAGCTCTTCTGGAAGATTCCTTTGGACGAGGCTGCAGGCTTGTGCTTGGAGAACCACCATCTTGTCTTGGTGCTGAAGGTGGTCGTGGTGGTGCCGGCCAATGACCCGGGGTCAGGGAGGGGGCAAAGGGCAAAGTCCATCTCTCGGAGGAAGCGCAGGTCCTGTCCGCGGCGGGGGGAGGGGGATGAGCACATCAGCTCGGAGGAGGAGATGCGGGCAGTACGGAACCACTCCCACAGGGGGCGGGCCTCACAGCCGCAGGACCAGGGGTTCCCATTGAGGCGGAGGAACTGGACTGCCACAGCGTCTTTCATGGCCTGGCCCGGCAGCTCTGCCAGGGAGTTGTTGAACAAGTAGAGGATGGTCAGACGGCCCAGGTCGCGGAATGCACGGCGGTTGACCTGCCGGATGCGGTTGTCGTGGAGCAGGAGGCGGTCCAGGTTGACCAGGCCACGGAACACGTTCTCGGACAGCGTGCGGATACGGTTGCCATGCAGGAAGAGGTGGGTCAGGTTGACCAGGTCGGAGAAGAGGTCGTCTTGTATGAAGTGCAGCTGGTTCTCCTGCAGGGAGGGAGGACATTGTCAGTGTGTGTGTGTGTGTGTTTGTGTGCGTGCATGCATACAAGTGTATGTATAAAGTTCTATGAGTGTGTGTGTATCTATACCTGCAGGTAGAGGAACTGCAGGCTGTAGAGTTTGAGGAAGAGGTCGTGGGGGAGAGCGGCCAGCTTGCAGCGGTGCATGTGCAGGCTCTGCAACTTCTCCAGTCCCCGGAACGCTCCGCCCTCCAGTCGCCGTAGCGACGGGTTGTCACCAAGGTCCAGCTCTTCTAGAACCCTCAGGTTGCTAAAGGCTCCAGCCTCAATCAATGTGATGTTATTGGAGTAGAGCCAGAGAACCTATAGGGGGAGGGGTTGAAAAGGGGAGAGGTAAATAGAAATGGGTCGTTAAACAAAGGAGCAAGGACACAGCTCCTATAAGAACACACAGAGCTCAAATACTAAACAAAATACTACATTTAAATGCAACACTATGCAATATCAATCCACAAACACTAACACCTCATTCACAAAAACGTATGTCCACACAAACACACACATTCTCACCTGTGTCTCGAAGCCAAAGGTGTCTGCTCTGAGCTCGGTGATGCGGTTGTTCTGCAGAAAGACACGCTGGGAGTCGTAGGGCACTCCGGAGGGCACGGTGGTGAAGTTCTGAGACTGACAGCTAACCGTCATGGGCGACGGGTAACACACACACAGCCTTGGACACGCCCCCGCCCCACTCGGCTTCACCGCCACCAACCACAGCACCAGCCACAGGGTGAGCCCACCTGAAACACGCAGAGAGAAAAGAGACAGGAATACGTTTAACACACAGTCAAACTCTGTGACAATATTTTCTCATTTGATCTTATTCACTCATGGACATAGATTACAATAATGGGCCATTATAACAACTAGCGGATGCATTGTACAGTGAAGACAGTCAGAGAAAGATGGAGTGAGAGAGAGAAAGAGATGCTGAGCTGTTTTCAGCACTTGGAGCTGTTCAGTGGAGTGGTGCAGAAAGTTGTTAATGACGCGGATATGACGCACAAGCCAAGATTATCAAAGGACTGCTGTGATCTGAAGTCTGACTAATTGGCCAAAGGTCTGAACAATCATTCATAATAAATGACATTATACAAATCATTTATATCCTATAACCTATTTATATCTAGCTGATCATGTTACATAGGCTAGTCACAGTACGGGTTTATAATTCTGGGACCTCAACATTTATCCAAGACCGAATCTTCTTCTCCTCTGGTTCAAAGTGCTATCAAGTTCTATTACACGACCTACAGAAGTGCGAAACAAGACTTACACTAGTAGCTTAAATTCACGAGCCAACTTCACAAAAAGGTTGGATCACCAAGAGGTTACAGAGTATGGACACGCGTAAAACAAGGTAACCGGACCCGGCTCAGTTTCGCTCTGCATGGATTATTCAGAGGCGGTTTGGCAAACTCGGATAACGGGGCACAAAACGGTCTGGGGAACATAGCATAAAAAAATAATCCCGTGCCATTCAGCTTCCCCGGCAAGATTTTCCAACGACCTCACCTTCTGACACGGCTCGTTAACTCCACCCGCACCGTACATGGAGAGGACTTGTTTAGTAGGTGCGCGCTTGTGAGCAACATGAACAATTTCCAAGTTTGTTCTTGCTTATGAAATAACAATTTTACCTTACTTATTCCTTGCTTTGGCTTTCATTAATTTTCACTAAATAAATCTACAAAGTTGTTTTTACCAAATGTAGGCTACAGCAGTTCATGGGTAAAGTCCTGTACAAAGCAGTTGAAAACTGAACGAATGAACTGCTGAGGTTTTAAGTGTAATCTTGTTTGCAAGAGCCAGATTTGTACTTCAGGGAGCCAACAACTTTATTGAAAAAAGTGAATAGGCTACAGAAGTGACGCATGCAGGTCAACCCCCTATGCAGGTAGGCCTAGCTGTTTACACACTTAACTGTGAACGAATTCAATTGAATATAAATAAAACAGTGAGTCTATAAACACCGTAAATCACATCTGGCGACATAACCATCCTCATCCCCATTACCATCAATAACATCTAGCCTAAAACAACAAATGTAAGATAAAGCCTATGAACTGAAGTCAACTCACTCTTGAAGTTGTGGATGTTGGAGCTACGAGATCTCCGTGCAGTCGAGCGAGTCTCCATCTCGAACCAAAGCCGAAAGCGAGCTAGCCTGAGCGCTGAGAAAGTGCCTGCTATCTCCGCTGAAGTTCAGCTCTGGTGACCGAGTCGGTGCGATTGAGTGAGTGATGGGCAGAATTTCCCGGGATCGGGTTTATACTCGATGAGCTGGCGCCCACGGATGTGGGAAGCGGCGGAATAGCTCACACGTCACTCTGTATGGGTCAGACTCGCGCGGGCGAGGAGAAAGGGAGGAGGGGATGGTGTGGATGAGTTGCTCAGGGGAGGAAGTCACTGGAAAAGTGAGGACGGCCACGGTGGTGTGTGTGTGTGTGTGTGTGTGTGTGTGTGTGTGTGTGTGTGTGTGTGTGTGTGTGTGTGTGTGCGTCTGGGGAGCTTGGCACGATTCCTGCGCAGTGAGTTTGGATCACAGAGGGGAGTTTGAGGATAAGGAGGTAGGAAAGGCTCGTTTGACTTAAAAAACCCAACTTCAATGGCTTTAGTTAGTCTAAGAAATAGTATGAGATTGAGAATAACTTCTCAATAATAGTATTTTTTTATTTCATGAAAGAGATAGTAATCTATCTGTGAGCAGAGACTCAGTGGACATCAGGAACGTGACGTCTACGATTATGCATGAATGAGGCAGTTAGTTACCTCATCATCTGAAATGTATATAGTCGCTCGACATCCTGTCTTGATCATGCATGTGTTACAATCAGTAATACCAAACATTCATAACCTTGGTTGGCGCAATAGCCTACCGTTTCAACTCATACAAGTAGCCTACCCTGATGCGACCTATACACACCGCAGCCCACATACCGTTTTCCCCTGGGATTTGACCACAACCTTGCATCGACCTCAATAACTATGTTACTAAAAGGCTAGATGGATTCGTGCTCCAAAATACGGAAGTTGCTCGACCTTTCAGTGCGCAGATGTTCTGAAGAAGATGCTGTCAAATCACCCGTTCACGCGCCGTTACGCACGAGACTGACTGATTTATTTGTGTACTGTTAGTTAGCAGGACATTCTGACTCAGAGTTTGGAGAGGACTAGGATCGGATGGATATAGTCAGGTATTGGCTTGAGATTCGTTTTGGATTAGAGTATTGTGAAATTACACCCAAATAAGAAAGTGGCCACAAGTTAAGAGGTCTTCTCTTGTCCAAAAAGTTGGACCCACACCCGAACGGACCCGAACATTTAAAAAAAGGGGGACCCAGACCGAACAGAGCGAGAACAATCAGACCCCAACCCGAATGGATCCGATGACAACCAGACCTAGATCCGACCTGTACCCTAATGATCAGGTCTACCATCCCCGATTGCACCCGAGTAAAAATAACTATTGGAACAGACCATACATATTTGTTTTGAAGAAATAGTAGTTAAAGGAGTATATGTAAAACATAAACCAGAGTGGATGCAGCAGAGAGAAAGCCGGCCGAGGTGCGGGAACCTGTCGAGCCTGCCGGCAGAGGAGCAGGAACCTGTTGAGCCTGACAGGCTGGCCGAGGCGTGGGAGCCTGACAAGCCGGCTGAGGCGTGGGAGCCTGACAGGCCTGCTGAGGCGTGGGAGCCTGACAGGCTGGCCGAGGCGTGGGAGCCTGACAGGCCTGGTGAGGCGTGGGAGCCTGACGAGCCGGCTGAGGCGTGGGAGCCTGACGAGCCGGCTGAGGCGTGGGAGCCTGACAAGCCGGCTGAGGCGTGGAAGCCTGACAAGCCAGCAGAGGCATGACGTGGGATGGGAGCCTGATGAGCCAACCGAGGCAAGAAAACCTCTCGAGCCAGCTAAGGTATGGAAGCCTGACGAGCCAGCTGAGGCATCCACGGTTCCTTCGGCAGCGGCACCCAGACCTGACGTCACCAACCCAAAACAAAACAAAAAATGTCCCTGATGCTTCTGATAATGGTGTCTGCATTCTGTGAGGACAGACGCTGGGAGACGAGAAGCAGGGACAGGGAGGGAATATTTAATATAAACAGACATGAAACAAAACACGGACAGCGTCTGGACAGGGGAAACATAATGACATTAATGCAGACAAGGGAATGAAACTGAGGAAGTGACAGATATAGGGGAGGCAATCAATGACATGATAGAGTCCAGGTGAGTCCGATGAAGCGCTGGTGTGCGTAACGATGGTGACAGGTGTGCATAATGATGAGCAGCCTGGCGCCCTCGAGTGCCAGGGAGGGGGAGCGGGAGCAGGCGTGACAATTTTGTCTGGACCCGCGGTCCGTATTGACCCCGTTCTGGGTTCGGATCTGGACCGCGGTCCGCCAGTTGAGTATGGGGGCTATAGACAATGCAGAGCATTGGTCGGGTCCATTCTGGTCCACTCTGGTCTATCAGCTGTAGTTACATGGACCCGCTTGGTTACCGGGTCGGGTCTCGGGTATTTGTGTTTGGGTGAAGACCTCTACCACAAGTAGGACCTAACCTGAGTATAGATCCCTCCATTGTGAAGGGACAGAACAATGCGTGCGTGTGTGTGTGTGTGTGTGTGTGTGTGTGTGTGTGCCTGTGCAGTCTGTGTGCTTTCTAGGGTACATTTCAGTGGGTGGTCGGTGTGGTTTGGTAGAGATTGTATGCAGCATGTGTGTGTATGTATGTTAATACATGTTTCGGGGGTGGGTTGAGTCAGAACTGAGTCCTGTCCCTCCACGACTTGGGTCAAGACTGTTCCATTTTCAGCAGCATGATGCACACAGTCTGTTCCTTATGGCAACACAGAGGTAACGGCACAGAACAATAACAATGGCTACTCAGAAGGTCAGCTCCACAAGCTGTGGAAGCATATGACATCATTCATCAGTAGAGAACATCTTTGTGTATGTGTCTGTGTGTCTGTAAGTTCTGTGTGTCTGTGAGTTCTGTGTGTCTGTGAGGTCTGTGTGTCTGTGAGTTCTGTGTGTCTGTGAGGTCTGTGTGTCTGTGAGGTCTGTGTGTCTGTGAGGTCTGTGTGTCTGTGAGGTCTATGTGTCTGTGAGGTCTGTGTGTCTGTGTGTCTGTGAGGTCTGTGTCTGTGAGGTCTGTGTGTGTGTGTGTCTGTGAGGTCTGTGAGGTCTGTGAGGTCTGTGTGTCTGTGTGTCTGTGTTTGCATCCAGGACCTTCTGCATAACAGCACTTTGCAGCATTTTAACTAATCACTCTACCAAAACCATGGTCAGTACTTTAATGCATGCAGGGTGCAATGCTTGCTCTGGTGATCAGTTAACCAGCTAGCAATCTGCTAAGTGTGTGTGTTAGTGCACAATGTTCCTTGGCCCTCTGGGCATTGGGGGTGGTAGTCAGCTCAGCAGGCTGGCACCAGTGGACACCATGGGGGGCCGTGGAGAGTTGGTAAGGGGTGGAGAGGGGAGAGATGGGGGGAGTGAAAGCTAATTGCACAGCTGACCTAGGGTGGCTCGCTGTGCCCCCCTCCCTTCATCACGCACCCAGACATTGGTCATGAGTAGGCTGTGTGTGTGTTTATGTGTGTGTGTGTAAGAGAGATGGAGAGTGAGTGTGTGCGTGTTAGTATTCTGTTGATGACCTATTGCAGTAGTCAAAGATCACACGCCTTCACTACAACTTCACTCTTTCTTTCCCTCTCTCTCTCTCTCCTTCTGCTCTCCTTCCCCTCTCACACATCCCTCTCTCTGTGCTATGGTACCCTAACATTTGATCTGGTGAACACACAATGATACCATGACATTCAAGGGGGGGGGCTCCAGAATGATACCGTGACATTTGGGGGGGCTCCAGAATGATACCATGACATTCGGGGGGGCTCAATTTTTTTAATGGGCCTAATAGTAAAGAAATGTTCAGGTAACTGTCAAAATAAAGGAAACCCCAACATTAAGTGTCTTAATAGGGCGTTGGACCACCACGAGCCAGAACAGCTTCAATGCACTTTGGCATAGATTCTACAAGTGTCTGGAACTCTATTAGAGGGATGCGACACCATGCTTCCACAGGAAATTCCATCGTTTGGTGTTTTGTTGATGGTGGTGGAAAATGCTGTCTCAGGCGCCGCTCCAGAATCTCCCATAAGTGTTAAATTGGGTTGAGATCTGGTGACTAAGACGGCCATGGCATATGGCTTACATCGTTTTCATGCTCATCAAACCATTCAGTGACCACTCGTGCCCTGTGGATGGGGGCATTGTCATCCTATGGGGGCATAGCCATGGTTGCCAAAATAATGGCCTGCCCGGCATTTTTATGGATGACCACAAGCATGATGGGATGTGTGGAAGCACCTGCTTTCAATATCCCTCATTTATTCAAGTGTTTCCATTATTTTGTCAGTTACCTGTATTTTAACTGTAAAAATGTATTACCTTTCAATGTTATCACGACTCAGGATATGACCCAGATGCAGATAAAGGAGGCAGACAGTACAGTTCTCAATAATAATTTATTAGAACACGGAGCAGGCAAAGGGCAGGACGAGGACAGGCAGAGGATCCTAATCAGGTCAGAGTTAGGCAGGTACAGGACAGCAGGCAGGCTCGGGGTAAGGGCAGGCCGAATGGTCAGAACCAGTAAAAATAGGAAATAAACACTTGCGAAACATGAAAACCGGAAAGCACACTGGTAAGACCTGACCTGACAAGATGTTACTGGCAACAGACAAACAGAGAACACAGATATAAATACACTGGGGATAATGGGGAAGATGGGCAACACCTGGAGGGGGATGGAGACACGCACAAAGACAGGTGAAACAGATCAGGGTGTGACAAATGTAGCATGAACACACCCAGTCTTGATGTTTCCATCTGATTTTCAAACAAATCACCTCCAAAATAATTCCAACATCCAAACAGTGCACTGTACACCCACCACTTGATGAATGGAAAGAGACACTGTTACAAAACACCAAAAAGTGTAGGGGAGTTGGGTAATTTGGACCATTTTTTTTACATTCAGCATCACTACATCAAGGGAAATATCGTATTATTTCTAACAAAGATATCTACATATATTTCAGGATGTTGTGTTTGCCTAGAAATAATCTGAATTCATGTAAACAGAACAGTTTTGAAAACATAGCTTGTCCAAAAAAAGTGGTCTCTTGGCACA